AAGGAGAAGAGCAATATGGAAAACAAAGAATTTGGCATGTTTTAGGAAGTGAAAAGCGAGAAGTGAGTAGTTCGTAGTGAGCTAGGTAGAAGGAAATTGATAGAGTGAGTAGGCAAGGCAAAAACCAGAGGAGAAGAGAGCTTTACAGATCATGAAAAGGACTTTGGACTTTTATTCTAATCGCAATGGCAATCAATCAGGTTTTAAAATGGGGAATGATGTGGTATTCTTTGCCCTTCTAATTACCATAAAATATTTTCAAGTCTTTCTTTTTTAAGGTTACAATGACCCTACATCCTCACCAAGTAACACCATCTTACTTCTCTATTCTTCATCATAGCCAAGTTTTCTTAAAAGGTTCTAAACTTTCTCTTTTTTTTAACTTCTCTCCGTCCATTCACTTTTTAATTTCTGCATTGTATTTCTGCCTCTAACACTCTAATGACACTGCTTTTATCAAGCTCACAAGGTGTCTTCTCTGACAAATCCAGTATAAATTCTTTAGCTCTTAACTTTTCATCTCTCTTCCTGCAGTGCCCTCTTCTCCCTTTTGAATCCATATCATGGACTCTTAATTTTCCTAACTCTGATCCTCATTTTCATTTCAAAGTTCCTCCTCTGCTAAACTCCTAGAAGAGTTTCCTATGAAGGCCTTATAAGTCTGTCTCTTATCTCTTAAATATGTTCTCCTTATTATTACCTTTTAGTAACTTAATTAAGGACATCATTAATTAGATGCTTAGGTTAGTGTTGCTTAGATTAGTGCAATGGTCTCTAAAAACTGAATATAATATATAAAACAACAGTTTCAAGACACTGGACAACAGGTAATGAAGAACATGCATCCCTGAGAGAAAAGAAACCAAATAAGATGATCCTTATGATTGGCCCAGCTGGCTTAAAGTTCCTTGGCTGCAGCTAAGGAAGGGGGAACCCGAGCAGAGTCCCGCAGATTCCCTGAGTTCAGGAGGTAAAGCAAGGATTCTTGGGAGACCAAGGCAACTAGAAAGAGAATTCCAGAGATTGGCAGAGGGTAGCCTTTGCATATTAGCAGAATAGTGATCACAGCAAATGTGTAAGAAAACTACCTAAGGTAGGTAAATTAGAACCATCCAAAAAGATTACAGGAAACACAGGCATAAAATAGTGTCTATTTCTGCAAACCAGACTGGAAATCCTCATAATTCCTGGTGCAATGGGTACAGTACTAAGAAGGCTCTTATTTCCGTAGTAGGGAATAATTAGCATTAGACTAAACATGGCTCTGATCTCACCTCACAAATATTAAAAATAAGACATGAATGGATCAAACAAACTGTGTCCATGTAAATTAGCTGTACTTCAGAACAAATTTCCAGGATAATTATAAAAATACAAAAATACCTAGCACCCAACAAAGTAAAATTTACAATGTCTGGCATCCAATCAAAAATTCCCAAGCATGCAAAGAAGCAGAATCTGATCCATAGTGAGGAGAAAAAGGAATCAATAAAATGGACCTACAACTGAGACAGATGTTAGAATTAGTAGGCAAAGACATTAAAACGGTTTTTACAACTATATTCCATATAATCAAAAAAGTAAAGTAGAGATGTGGCAGGTATAAAAACAACACAGATCAAACTTCTAGAGGTGAAAACTACAATATCTGAGATAAAAAACATGTTGGATAGAATTGTAGATCAGGGATTACAGAAAAAAAGACAGTTGAAGATAGATCAATAGAAACTATGCTGGATGAAACACATAGAGAAAAGAGAATCTAAAAAAATAACAAGCACATCACTAAAGTACTAAACAAATGAAATTGGAGTTCCCCATGGAGAGGAAGAGGAGGAAACACAGAAAAAATATTTGAAGAAATAATGGCTGAAAAATTTCCAAATTTGACAAAAACTATAAACTCACAGATCCAAGAAGCTCAATGAATCCCAAAGGAAGGAAACATGAAGAAAACTATACCAGTGCAGTTCACAATTGTGTTTCTCAAAACCAGCAGTAAAGATAAACCTTAATAGCAGTCAGAGAAAAAGTCATGTTATGTACAGGGGAATAAAGAAAAAGAGCAGATTTCTTGTGAGAAACAATGCAGGCGAGAAGACAGTGGAGCAACATCTCTAGGGCACTGAAAGACAAAACTCCCTACACAGAACCCTATACCCAGAGAAAATATCTTTTAAAAATTAAAGTGAAATACTTTTACAGTATACAAAAGTTTAAGGTATCCAACACTTGTATTGCAAGAAATGTTCAAAGAAGTCCTTTAGTCTGAAGGAAAATGATATCACATGGAAATACGAATCCAAACAAAGAAAGCAGGAGCACCAAGAGTGATAATAACTTTATGGGTAAATATAAAAAGGAGACTTTTTTCTTAGTATTTAAATCTCTTTAAAAGACAGAGTTCTGATTCTTGGTAAGATCGAGTAAGCACATCAACCTGTATCTCCCACTGAATACAGCTATAAAAACCAGGACAAAAATCCATGAAGTGGCTGCTTGAGAACTCTGGAAAGCAAACAGTAGCAGTCAGATTTGGGGGGGAAGACAAAAATTCAAAGTATACTTAACTGGTGTTGAAATACCCAATATTCCCCAGTAAAGATTCAACCTGACAGAACCCCAGAAGTGGGCACAGGTTGAAAACAAAAAGAGCTCTAAGAAAAGCCTCTTGTTCTAGCCTGAGGAATAGGGAAGGGAAATCCTAATGCTTAGAAGGAACATGAAAATCCCCCAGTATTTTTCTTTTCTTCTTTACTTTGTCATTTTCTTTCCTAGTCCCTACACAATCTCATGGTGGTGGGAGCAGCAGCTGGTAATGGGAACCCAAGGGAGACCAAACTAGGGGAGAAGAAGCTTCCTTTCTGTTTGGTGGAGATGTGTTATCAAGAGGATGGGGCCAACCTCCACTGCTACTTTTCTCTAACTTCTGGCCACATGGCTCTAGGTACATAAGCAGAGCAAAGTAACTGAAGCCTCAGCTTTCCAGCCAGATGACAAAACAGAGGAGTCCCAGGAAACTGGAAAACATTAGGGGGATAGTAAAGACAACGAAACTCAAGAAAGTGACTCCACAAAGTTGATTATTATTGCTTGAGTTTACCCTCCATATGCACGTGCATGGATTTGATCCTATATGGCATATCAAAGACTTCGAAAACTGAACTAACAGACTACTGCCCAGGTCTCAGACTAGTCAGGGTGTGGTGCATATGCTGGATAGATCCAAACAGCACTGAGAAGCTTTGAAAAATGAACTGATATTGGAACCATGAACCATAAAAGGCAGATAGGAACTTATGGCCTGACCCTTACTAGGCCAACTGCCTGCTAAGTCAAAAATACCAATATCCTTCATAGGATTTAAATAAGACCCAATGTCTCATAAGGTAATATTCAAAATGTCCAGGATACAATTAAAAATTACTTAACATAATAAGAAACAGGAAAATATTAACTCTTCTGAGAGAAGACAATCAACAGTCAACACCAATATAACACAGATGGTGAAATTATGTGACAAAGATTTTAAAACAGCTATTATAAAAAAGCTCCAGAAGCAATCATGAGCACTCATGACAGCAACAGGAAAACAGAAAGTCTGAGGAAAAAACCAGAAGATATAAAGAAAACAATATGAAATTCAAATTTCGATGTCCATAAATAAAATTTTATCGGAAACACAGCCATGCTCATACATATTCCTGCTTTTGTGCTACAGCTGTTAGAGTTGAGAAGTTGCAACAGATACTATAAGGCCTGAAAAGCCTAAAAACCTTACTATCTGGCCATTTACAGAATACATTTACTGATCCCTCTGCACTTGGAATAAGTCTATACTATTCGTTGGAGCAAACATCTAGGACCTTGCATGATCTGGCCCTGCTTACCTCTTCCAAGGCTTCTTGCTTGCCATTCTTTGTCTTGAATTCTGAATTTTAGCCATCCATGCTGAATTATATCTAGTTCCCTGAGCTTCACGTGCTCTCTCACCTCTGGGCCCTGGACATTCTCTCTGTCTAAAATGCTCTGTGTAACTTTAGGTTTAGCTAACTACTTTTCTCTCGGCACATCACATTTTCCAGAAATCATTTTCTTGGTCCTCCCAAAACTGATTTATGCTCTCCTGTATATTCTTACAGTAGCCTGTGATTATTCCTCATGTATTACTTATCAGCTATAATTGCCTCTAAACTTGCTTCCCTTTCCACTAGACTCTAAGCTCCTTAAGGGGAGGGACTATGTCTTAACTATTATTGTATCCCCACTGCTTAGAAGTGTGTGGCATATAATAATAGGTAGTCAATGAAGAATTGTTAAATAAACAAACAAAATAAATGCTATCAAGTCTTTGGGCTTTTCTACAACACAAGAAAAACTACTATGAAAAGAGTCCATCCATCAAAAAAAATTACTTAAAATCAATACTGGTCAGCCATCCAAAAGAAAAAAAAATCAGAGTTCTTCATGGTCAGACTAGCTCTTTTAGAATGCAAGCTTCGCAAGAACACACGTTTCTGTTTTGTTTATTGATGTATCTCCAGTGCCTAGGACAATGTAAGCAAATAGTAGATACTCGGTAATTATTGCTGAATAAATGAATCTTTAAGTCAGATCTTCTTAATACCCATGCTGAAACCGTTCTGAGATTCTATCAAAATTCACTACTCTGATTCTCATCAAGGATTATTCTTAGTAACAGATTAATCTAACACAGTATAAAAGGTTAAAGTAAGACAGTTTAAATGTATATCATTAGTTCCCTCTATTATACTAAACACTTTTGTAATAAGAATCCTTGCTATTCTTAAGGCTGAATAGTTTTCTCCATCCTTAATTTTTCACTAGGAGAAGGAGGTACTTCTACTCCCCCAGGAGGAAAACATAGAATTCTTCCAGCCTCTCCCAACTCCTGTAAGTGTTCACTCCCTCAGAGTGGCCAGTCTACAAGTTTATATGTGTGCTAGACCAAAAAAGAATATTAACATTTTTATACATACTTTCAGTTGCAGAGAAGGATGTATCCAATGTTAATTCATCCAGAGGAATAACAAGTTCACCTCCTGCCTCCCACTTCTTGCGATCAGATGAAACTGGTTTTTCTTTTTCATGTTCTTTGGCATCTTCATGAATAATTATCTCAAAAGTATCAGAGTGGTTCTGCTTTTCTTTTTCATCTTCTTGAGCTTTAAGATTTTCATTTAATCTACGTAGTATTTCTCGCTTACTCTGAAACAGATATAATGTTATATTTTAAAATTTATATAATTAAGTAAAATGTCAGAGAAACTGAAAATTTTACTTACTGAAATACCGTTGTTGGTCTTTTGCATTTCTTCTGAGTTTTCCTGGACATCGGTTAAACTTCTGTCCTTTAAATACAGGTAGTTACAAAATAAGAAATAATGTTACTCTAAAAGTCTACCTTAAAAACTCTGATACTTCTGTTACTTTTTGATTTTCATTAAATTGCTCCTTATGAATTTTTTATTCCTGTAAAATGTTAACACAGCTTCCTTTATTATCACCAATAACAAACATTTAAATATTATTAACTAACAGAATAGATAGTAGGGCCAATTCTGTTATTTGTCATATTTTTTGATTACTGCTCACATACTTAACTATACACTCTTCCATTTCTGGTACAATTTTAGTTCAATGGTAGAAATAAAAAGAAAATTAATTTATATACTCTGTTAATTAGAGCTATGAAAAGTTTTGATCGATAAAGTAATTCATAATAAGGGTATGCTATTTAGAAACTGTCTTTAAGTTTCATGTACATATATTCTTGTTATATCATTCTACTAAACATAATTGAGAACTGGCTTTCCTCCCTAAGCAAAGAGTGTAATAAGAATGAGTTCTGAGTCATTTGTACTATGAACAATATAAATTTTGTCTTCTGATTAGTATAATCAAAGCAATCTAGACCACCTAGAATTTTTAAATATATGAAAATAAAAAGACATTAGTAGTTATGAAAGCTATTGAAAGCAAAGGAATCTAGAGGACAAAGTAAGTAAGAACGGTTTTCAAAGTTTTTAAGTAAGCCATGTTTACCAAGATAACACAGAAAGAAATACCATTTAGTTACATGGACTACTCAAATTTTGTAATATTTGGAAAAAATGTAAAAGAGTACAGTGGTCAGTTTTAAAGTAATACATGTAAATGAGACAAAGAACATTTTACCCAGTGAAGTAGTCAAGAATTAGCAGTTGCTACAACCAGAGAGATGAATGTGAGACTGGGCACTAGGAAGGAAACCACACAGTGGTATCTAAAGTTGAAGTGAACAACACAGCACAGGCAAAGTTATCACCAGAAAGAAAAAGACACTAAACCTATTGAAGTACAATAGTTTCTTCTACGAAGTTCTTGAGAGAGAACAAACACCTTCAATTTTCCTACTCAGTCTTATTTTCAAGATAAACACAAAGGCTGTAAAAAAAATTAGTGTGCCAATACACTTTGTTGGCTGCAAAAACTTAATGAAATGGCACAGACATCAACTACCAGGAAAGGAGAAAATGAGGTTATGTGTTATATGATTCAGTACACTTTTTTCCTTCTGTCTCCTGAATTCTAGGCAAAACCTCCAATTATCAGCCCATTTCTCTTAACCCCAGAACAGAGTTTTCACTTTAGATAGATACCTGACACATACTTCTAAGTTTAAACTTTTTACTTGTCCACGTTTCTTTGTTTTACTTTCTATATGGCATGATAGAAACTCAGAAGCAGATGGTAAAATAAATTATTGATGAATTAAGTGTAATTACATTGAGTCCTCTAATATTTGCTATGTCACAAAATTTCAAATAAATGTAAATATGTGTTGGACTTAATTCCTAGAGTTAAAGTACCAATGGTGCATTATATTTTTAAAAAGTGGACATTTGGGGATCCGAACCCATGGCCTTGGTGTTATCAGCACCACACTCTCCCAAGTGAGCCATGGGCCCGCCCAATCTCACTTTAATTTTAATACATTACAGTTAGTGAGCAGAAAACTTATTTTGTTTATCAATTTTACACTTCAAAAAGAAGTGCTTCTGCAATTTCTGCAAATTTTGGTACAATCTCCTTAAAGTTTGGTATCAATCACTCAACATAAGAGCCCTTATTGTAAAAATGTTGACATAATGAGAATGGAAAGAATGACAGGTACAGTTAATAAGATCTACTTCACTGAAAGTATGTTTTATGTATAAAGGAGTGTGTGTGTGTGCATGTGTGTGTGTGTGTGTTTATCTTATTTAGACTCTAAACAATACAAAGTAAGATTCTGAACCTTTAGTAAATATTTTAAAAATGGCATATACAGATATGCTAATAGTAACATGGCAGGAAGTCTGCTCTCTATTTCTACTCTTCCTCAAACCAATAAGAAAGACTTTCTGGGGAGTATACATTTTAAACACAATTATTTATTGAGCATTATCTACAAATAAAGTAGTAATACAGTTGTAATATTTAGGCTTCTAGACATTCATTTTACACCAACATCTATTTTGTTCAAAAAAAGATAGAAATATTGCTTTAATCCCATAGTTTGGTATTATTGAAAAGTACACTGATGTTTAAGACGTGACTATAAAAACTTTTAACAATATCTAGAGCTCACATAACCCAGTTTTCCCACCTTGAAAGATTATATCAAAATATTTTGAAACTCTTTTATCATTGTTTTGTTATCATAGAATATATATTCAAAGAAGGTTTCATAAATTCTGAGGAAATAAAAACAAGATCCAAAGTTTTCTGAACAGCAGCAGCATTTTTAGAACAAGCATGTTATTTCCCTAGATGAATATTTTGAAAGAAACGAAATTTGGATAAATTCTGCTATTTTTATTTAAATCAGTCATTACTTCTCTGCCACATATATATATATCAACTGTATCATACTAATGCACTTAAAGAAATGATTTCTGCTATTTCAATACATAACCTGACGTAATTTTTCTGAGAAAATTCACAATATTTGATAAAAATTAATTTATCAATGAATTAAAAGATGTATTAAGTACCTACTAAGTGGCAAGCACAGTTCTAGATAATGAATATCCAAAATGAGTAAGACACAATGTTTTCTCTCAAAGGATTATAAACTAAAAGAGAAAGGGAAACATAAATCAATCAGTAAGATACAGAGAAATAAAAGAAAAGAGATGTGTGCTAAATGATCTGGGGGAAAAGTGAAACGAAATAAAAACCAGAGAAAGGACTTTCTAAAGCCAGGATGGGGGCTAGTGAGAGCAGCCTTCACTGAGTAACCAATGTTTAAACAGTCATTCATTGTTCAAGGAAGCCATAAAATACAATTAAATTAGTACAGTTCTACATTCAAATCCCCAAATTCTCTTACTAATCCTGTGATTTTTCATTTTTACTTATCTCTTTGAACATCAAATTTTTTCTCTCTAAAATGGGAATCCTGTACTCATTTTGTCCTTGCTATAAGGATTAAATGGGACAATATATGAAAGTACACAGATGTGTACGTATTAAATGATAGCAATTATTATTTGTTTAGTTTCTACTGAATAAAGTATTTGGCTTAAACACCAAAAGTCTGGTTTTAGTCCCCAGTGAGATGAATTAACTTGCAGAAAGCAAGTTTCTGATCCTCAGAATGCAGAATAAAAATGAAAACTTCCCATCTGTGCATGATCAGAATTTAAAATTTAGGCACGGCATAGGAGGTTTTAAGACCCGCAAGTCGACAAGAAACAGAAACCTAAAAGTCAAATACTTTATCTTATAAATTCAAGAAACTAAGATTTTAAAAAATGATCAAAAAGTAATTTAATTATGTGAATAATTAAACAGGAGAGATAATATAGGTTTAACCAATTTCATTAAAGTAAGAATAGCACCAACTTCACTTTTCAACCTACAATGCAATTTTCATTTATGCTTATAAAGATTATAAGTCATTTCTAAAGTTATTGGACAGACAACAGTTTGAGGAATATTACGGAAACTCTTAAAAGAAAAAAATCATTCATATACCCACTGATTTGACTAATTATATGTACTTCATTTATCCATACTCCTAAAAATTCTTTCTTATCCCTATGCATAAATAATTCTCATTTCATTAAAACAAGTCATCATCACAACTTTCTGAAATTGTACACACATGGTCTATGAGAAAATTTCAAGAAAACCAAAGGAAATACTTAGCAGATTTTGTACTCAGTTAAAGAATGGCAAAAGTCACATAGGAAAAGATGGATTTTCAATCTCCTTAAGTAAGCTGTAAAGTATTTTGAACAGAGTCATTTCTATACTAATCTCAATCTTAGGAGAAACCTAAAGTAACAGACGAAAATCTATTTATTGATAAGATGCTATGAATTAAACAGGCTATGAGACCAAGATAATCAAATTCAGTACAAGTTGTGATTACGCAAAAATAGGAAAGGTCTCCATTAAATTCTCTTCATACTATTCATCTTTTACCTAAGAAGCAAATCTTTTTTTTAAAGAAGAAAATGTTTCACAAATTACTAACAATTTACATTGTATTTTATTAAAAGCTATCTATAGATCATTATACAATATATGCAGGTATTGAAATAACAAACTGCACCCCATAAAAATGTACAATGAAAAAAATTAAAATTTAACGAAACAGATAAAAGCTATCTAGCTGCCATATATATGGCTAATGACTAGTGTATAGTCTATGATCCATGGTATCTGATCCAGTGTGTAAGACAAATTAATTGGCATCTTTATAATAATGTTATTCAACAGACTTTAGCAAATGCTTATGTTCTATAATCAAACATATATTGGTCTCTCCCCTGGGTCAACTAAACTAAACAGATATGAACAGGCAAAAAAATTCAGACATGAAATCTAAACCAACAAGCAAAGACAAACAAATCATTCTACTAATTCTTACAATCACTTAATAACAAAACTAAATTAGTTATTTAAAATTTAAAGGTAGCTCAGGGTAACTACCAAGATGTGGCAACAACATTATAAGCCAAGGTCACACACATCACTAATGTAACAGAACAGCAAAACTTGGGCCTTCTGTGTAAACATCATGGATATATTATTTATAACCAGAACCTTAAGGCTGTTCAATGTTAATCAGTTCTTGAAATAAAAGATAATATTGTACTTTTAATTGTCAAAAGATAAAACATTAGAGGGCCGGCCTATGGCTCACTTGGGTGAGTGTGGTGCTGATAACACCAAGGCCACAGGTGCAGATCCCTATATAGGGATGGCCAATTAGTTCACTTGGGAGAGCGTGGTGCTGACAACACCAAGTCAAGGGTCAAGATCCCCTTACCAGTCATCTTTAAAAAAAAAAAAAAAGAACATTAGACTGAATAAA